ATTTGGTTTCTGGTTTATAGGATCACATATAGCAGTTTAGGTCCCAAAAATTAACAGATGATAAATACTTATTTGATACTTCTAATTTTTTTATTACAGGTATTCTGGTTGCCTGCTGATGCATAACAAACTACCTCAATACTTAACAGATTAAAACAAATTATGTCTTATGGTTCGGACAAGGCACAAAGAACAATGGCTCCTCTAGTTCACAATATATGAAGCCTCTGCAGTGATGTGCATCACATGGGTGGAGGGTGCGACAGCTGTGGCTGGCCAAACATCTTTGTTTCTCTCCACATGACTAGCTTGCACTTAATTAGGATGCTAGCTGGGTGTTCTTGAGGCCACGGGACTTTTCACAAGGTGACTCAGGGCTTGAAGAGTGAGTGTTCCATGAGGCTCAGGTGGAAGCTGCAAGACTTCTTATGACTTACCTACTGAAGTCCCCAAAATATCACTATTTGTCAAGCAAGCCATTAAAGCCAGGCCAGATTCAAGGGGGAGGGAAATTAGACTGTATTTCTCAATAGGAGAACCTGTAATTATAGTTTTCTTACGATGGTCCTTGCTCATTTATTTATTCAAGGCTGAGAAAAAAATCCACGGTAGTATATTACTTTAAAAAAAAACACAACAACAACCTAGGTTGAAAACGCTGGTAGGAAGGTCAACATGAATCCCACAAATCACTAATTTAGGTAGTCAAAATGAGGATAAGTGATCATTTATAAATCAACACTAAACGAGTAATTCCTGATTGCTGAAATTATAAAGCGGTACTTTGCTCATCTTACAAAATGGTATTTTCACTGGCAATTAAAAGTAAAGGTCCATAGGAAAAGTTTCCTAAAAAACTACATTTTAAAATAAGCAGTCCTACTGGTAGCGTAGTGGTTACGAATCAGGCTGTGAAACACACGGTCAGCAGTTCGAAACTACCAGCTGCTCCGCGGGAGAAAGATGAGGCTTTCTGTTCCCGTAAAGATTTACAGCCTCAGAAACCCTGTTCAGGGTCGCTATGGGTCGGAACCGACTCTACGGCACTTAACAACAACAACTTTGATAAATATTTAAATTCAAAATACCCATAAATTAAATTCAACAATACACCAAAATTTATAAGCAAAGTTAATCAGAGAAAAATCTACAGTTATTCTTTTTTCAAAAACTTCATCATGAGTAACAGGCAACTAAAAAAAAAAAAACCTAGAAGTCATTTAAGAAACTGAACTAAAATTATTTCCTCCTTGGAAAGAAGAGTTCATGTTTTAGTTTAAATGATTAAAAGCAGAAAAGAGGGCCTAAATGTAGCAAGTGTTCTGCGTTTTTCCCAGAAAACTGTCGCAGTTATGAAGGCATCCTGATTATTTAAATCAGCCACTTTCACCAGATTTAGCCACTTTCACCAAGATTCTAAAGTATACATACCCTCTGATCTAATAACTAACAACACAAAAACATTCATAAATTAATAAGAGAAATAGAAAATTAAACCAAGGACATTATCAAGCAATTCAAAGAAGAAACATAAATACCTACAATGTATGATGTAAGCTTAATAATATAGTCATGAGGTATATGTGAAAATGATAGGACAGTAACACTGTTTAGTATTTGGAGGGGGTAGAGACACTGCAGTTTCATGCACTTACTTTTTTCTCATGCTAAAAGAATAGCTACTCATTTGCTATATATTTAAAAGCACTGAGCATAAATATAAAATGATAAATAAGAAAGCAAGATAAATAGATAAGTAGGCAAATTAAACTCAACCATAAATGATACTTAATCATAACTATTATCTGTTTTCCAGAAACAGAAAATACTTACAAATTTTAATTTTTGTTTTATCTCTGGATCTATAGTCCCTCCAGGTCCAAGTTGGGCAATAACTGATTTGAATGTGTTCTCCAACTACAAAAAAAAAAAAAGAGAGAGAGAAAGTTCAAATCATAGTCCTCTTACTAAATACAAAATAAAAGGTAAATATGCCCAAAACAAAAATGGCAGTATGATTGCCTACTTCAAGAATAAGCCAGTTTGTTCACTGGGAAGCCATCAAGGCAAGCAATCAAGTCACTTCAGGTCAAACCCTCCTCTAATACTGAAACTCAAAGGGAACACATGAGCAGGCATGTAAGCTTTCTGATGACCACATTGGTCTACTGGTGAGTGGAAGAGGGGGAAAGGCAGCAATGAAGAAATGGGCTGTGGTCATCCACGTTCCATGGACTAGCGTTGACCTGGAGATGAGAGAGAAAAGGGCTGGTTGGTCGAAAGTGCAGTAAGACCTGAGGACCCCTGAGCCCATGGACAAGGATATAGCTACAAAGGGCTAGAGCTGAAAGTGAAGAATCCAGCTGATATGAAGTGAGGGGAGACGCACAAGAACACTCAAACTTGCAGATAGTACCCATTTGACCTAGTCTTGATGGCTTGATAATCAGAACTCAACTAGAGGAAGAAAAAAAAAAA